CAAGTGCACATGGAGGGCTATCAGGTGTCCAATCAATGCATGGCGTTGGTACGAGACGGCTGTTTGGTTCCTACAAAAGACGCACCGGAATTGGGCTACGTGATCGAGTCCACCGACAAACAATACGTTCCGGATGTCTTCTATAAGGTAAGTTCAAACATATCGATTTTATTTTCTATTCGATTACGCTTTCTTGAATCACTTCGATCTAACAATACATGTATATCGAACGAGTGCCTTCGAATTTTTTTTCACATATGTCTATCGCAGCTTAATATTTATTGGAATTTACGCAATTTTGTCGCACAACTTAAGATATAGATATAGGATACGAACAAATTATAATACATGAAAGAATAACTCAAAATTGATCGATTAAAAGTACATTTAAGTTGGGGCAATAAACGTTCACTTCGTACATGTATAATGAAATAATAAAATTCGTTTAAACGATGATTCGTACGGTGTGATTACCGCGAACCCGAAAAAAAATCACGATCTTTTGCGTTTTCAATGATCACCGCAACTCGAGAGCGGGGGAATAAGAGAGAGAAAGAGATAGAGCGGAAGTAAGAAAAAGGAGAGATACGGAGATACCGAGGGAAATAATGGCGAGGTAGAAAGGCGAGGAAAGAACTTGTCCAAGTGCTTACAGCCGCTCAATCGTTTAATCGCACGCGAGGGGCCAGGTAAATCGGTCGGTCATTAGAATCGATATTACAAGCTATGCGTTGTAACCTCATCACGTTCATAAAAATATACGTAGTTTATATATTTGTATATATATATATGCATACGCGCGCGCATAGGTATCTGTATCTGTGTGTGTGTGTGTGTATTTTTTGTGTATATGTACGTGTACAGTTGGGCCTAATCTTTACTCGCTTCGATACAATATGTTCTTTTCCTCACGATTGCGTCTACGATTACGTACTAAGAGTTACAATTTGTCGGAGTCTTCCCCGTTCAGCAGCGAAACGAGAGAATTCGTTCATTCATCCATCCGTTCGAACACACAATCATCCAATCCCCCCCCCTCCAAACCCCCTTACGGTCGTCGTGTATACAATATTGTACATGTGCAATCGACAGCAAAAATGCCTTCCGGCGTGAAGAGATTGCGAACTGCTTTAGATCGAACCAGCTTCTCTATCTACGAGTCTCGCTGGACTTTCTCTAGATCTTAGCTAGCCAGCCAGCCAACTTACTGATCTCTCTTCTTTAGAGAAGAGAGAGAAAGAAGCTCGACGTATAAACGCAGTTCTCGGCTTCGCTACACTCGACACGGACAGCATTTCCGCTCTTGATCGTACAGGAGCGAGTTATTTATCCCTAAAGACGACACGCGACGTGACGCGTTTTTCGCATCGCGTCAGTCATCGCGACGTCGATCGCGAGAGACGCGTTCTTCTTTTTCCTTTTTTTTTTTTTAATCAGCTAATCAACAAGTGTTAAAACTTTCAAGTTCAACATCGAATGAGGCTTTTCTTCGAGAAGGCATATCCGCGACGACGCGAGGGCGTGCAATTTCTGCTTATTACGCGTGAGTGTGCCTTGCCTTGTACGCGCGTGGAGATATATTCGCACGCACGTGTGTTCGCGTGAGAGGGAAAGATACGCAGCCGCTCCCCGCGTACGCGCGCGCGTGTGTGACATTGTATGTAACGATAATAACGCATGAGACTTCATTACGAGGATTCAGACGAGTAATTATAACGCAGTTACATTATATCGTAGTATTTTTTCGATATATAGTATCGAGGAATGATTCGTTTAATATATATATATATATCCGCACATTTCTTTTTTTATTCTTCCGTTTTCCGATTAGACGACACGAGGCTTACGGTCTACAGTAGTAGTATTTAGGCCTTGCATACATATGCGACGTATTTTGAGATCTAATCTTAAATACAGATATAACCCACGACGGTTCGCTAGTTCGCAAAGAACGAAAAGGGAAACGGGCTCGGGCCGCAAGTATCCGAGCGGCGGTGATCGCAAGATTCTTCTTCGCAAAACGCGCGCGCGCGATGAATATATCTTTTTTTTTTATTTTCTCTTCCCTTTTAGCTCTTTTTCCTCGCACCCCTGGAACGGAACGGAACGATACGATACGATACGCGATTGCCGTGTCCGACGAACCATAAACCTGCCCTCCTACGTGATTAACTATGCCGATATCTCTCTTCCACCTCTCTCGGCTAAGATATCTAAACGAGACCTGCGTACATGGAATCACGCGATTCACGACTTTTAGCAGCAAGTCGCGAAGGTCGCCAAGAAAAAAAAATATAATAAAAGGACAAGAGAATCGAAAGAGTCGAATGTTTGCGCTCGTGCGCAGATTTCATCTCTTTCGTTTTCTTCGCAAATGTGTCTCGCGTACATGACACACGATTCGGTTGCCTCCGACACAGTTCGCTACACTTAAATTCCCAGATTATTCTACGCGTGCTTTTTTTTCCCTTTTATTCGCTATCTACGACCTAAAACATTAGCTGCGCTCGCAGCCGGCCGGAGAACCGTCTGCCGCGATCCGCGCGGTATTATTTTCTCCATTATATCACGTTCAAACGCGCGACAAACGCGTTCTATGAACTACAACGTCGTAGAAGAGTTAATGCCGATAATAGCCAAAATAAACGTCAGACCTCTCTCTCCCTAAAAAAAAAACAAATATGTCGTATATCAGCTAGAGAAGTCGTATCGATATCACGGTCGATCTCTGAGGTACGTATGTATGTGTGTGTGTCTCGTGTGTAAATCGATCATCGTCGTTATTGTTAGCAGAATCTCGTATCGATTCCCAGTCAATAGCAAAATATGGATTTTTATCTCTTTTTCATCTTCTCGCACACGCCCATGTTTTAAAAATAGATTCGACATCTTTAGACGCTATTGTTAATAGTTAATTAAGTTGCATGACTCGTACAGAGCGTTCGAGGATTTCGCGGAGCTAATAAACGTGTCGCAACGATCTCCCCGAGCGGACATACGCGCGGCGGATATAATAATAACAATAATCGTCACCCGTCGTCGGACAATTACGTGTAACGCGATTTCTTTTTGCACGTTTCTTCTTACGTACAAGTTTCTCCCGCGAAACGCGCGCGAGTCGGGGATACCGTGGCGACTTTCCTTCGGTTATCTAGAGCAGGAAAACGTGTTGTATACGGCGTTATATCATATATACGGAGTACATACTCTCTCATTTCTCGGAGATTTACCCGGCGTTGCAACAAACCGCGCGACAGCGATAGCATAAACGTTACAATTTACCGCATTTCGTGATTTGAATATTCTTGGTAGGCTTGCCGGTCTGGTCGCCGAACGTAGATATCTTCTCCACCAGCTCCAATCCCTCGACTACGTGGCCGAAGATGCCAGTAAAGCCGCGCATCTCCTGCAGTATTATGCGAAATTGCGAGCCGACCATGCCGAGGTTGTCGTGCCGCTTTTGCGTCCGTCTCATGCCCACCGCGCCCCTAACCGCTGGGAACTTGGTATCGTCCGGCATAAAATAACCGTCCTCGAATATGCTGCGTCCACCGCGGCCGTTGTTAAGCTCGAAGTCGCCGGTAATCACGGACTCGCCCTCCCAGCACTGGAATATCGTGCATCCCTTGTAACCGATTCCGGCCTCCCCCGTCGACAGCACGCTGAAATTCTTTGCCATCTTCGGCGCCGCATCCGGTCGCACCTCGATTACGATACGCCCGTGCGGCGAGCCGTTCACCTCGATGTTGAAGTAATACAGGGGATACGGATTCGCGGGACCTCGCGTCAACGTCGCCGTCATCGCGTTGGACGGCGGTTGCGGGGACGAGTGGACGGTCACTAGACTACCGCCGCCGACGCCGGTACCGATCGCGTCAGGCATGAACGTCGACTGTTGCTGTGGATGCATTATGGCATTGGGCGGTGCAGGCGGTACGGGTTTGATGGACGGTGAACCGGGTGGAATGAGGAGCTGCTGGGGAGCTTGGTTGGGTTGCGGCGGTGGACCCTGATGAACGTGAACGGATGGCGCCTGTTGCGGTGGCGGTGGCATCATACTTGAATGGTGGTATTCCATCGAGCCGTTCGGCATGTGCTGCTGCTTGCTGACGATGTGACGCGTGTACAATTGCGACATGCAGTAATTCACAAGGAACAAGAGTGGGTTATGCGTGGCTGCGAGATGATTTGACATACGACTACCATTGCCCTGAGAAATGATTGGATCCGTCGTGTGTATCCCCGCCAATGCTTGCTTCAGCAAGGCGAAATCAAATACCACTCCGGAATTGCCGATGAGATCATCCAGCTGACACTGCAGCATCATTTCCTGACACTTGGACTGCAATCTTTGTTTTTCGAGAACTAGCTGCGAATGTAGACCGTACACGTCGCCCGGGGTTTCGCTCATCTGCAGGCCAATCTTCGTCTTACCTAGGGTCTCGCGCGCCTCCGTTATCTCGGGAAAATGACCCCAGCCGTTCTGCAGATCCGTTTCCACATGCGTTTTCAATGTCATGCACGCCTCCAGCACCTTTAACAGAAAGTCGCGTTGCTGTCCGGCCAGTCTCTGAATATCCGCCGTCAGTTTACCCACGGTGACTAACTCCTGTTGAACCTGCGAACGTTATTTTTCTCGTCGTTAGCTTTCTCGTTTATCGTGGGATCGGACCGATCGGCAAGATAGTAAAAACTTACATCGGATATGAGCTGTTCTTTGGCATCGGTTTGCGATTTGATCTGATGACCCGGGTGATCCTGCGGGCTTGCGCACGCTCTACAAAGGGCCGTGCAACACGTCGCACACCACAGTGCCAATGGCATTCCGTGTGTGTGACAGTTCTCACTCTGCGAAAATATTTAACCATTATCGATCCGCGAGGAGAAACCGTCCACGCAGTGTATAAGCAGATCGGGAACCGAGACTCACAAGAGAGCCGAACGATGGGGATACGCACACGAGGAGAAAGCACGTACGTGCCTCGCTAACCGAAGTTCCGAGCACACACGTACGTGCTTTCTCTTTATGCGCGTATCCCCCACCGCTCGACTCTCCGTGACTCTCGGTCCTCGATCTGGTTATACTGCGTCCACGTGTTTACATGATAAACGAAGGTTCACGACCTGCCAGCAGGAAGTGCCGCAAGTAGAAGACGAAATGCATTTCTCGTAGGGATCTTTTTTAAGGGGAAAATCGAAATTATCGCAGACTCGAGAGTAGTCGTCCGCACTTGGGGATAAAACGAGAGTGATGACGCCCTTACAACATTATCCTATTATTGCCGGAACCGTTCCTTCTCGATATGGCTTCGCACGCGCGTGTCCTGTGTCTCGCGGTTACCCCGGTTACCCCGTCCCTCTCGGCAAGAGCTTGCCGTTTACCGCACGCGCGGTTTCGTAGCCGCCGAATGATCTCTCGTCGTCCAAAAATCCCACGTGACGCAATTTTATTCAGCAGAGATATCTCGATAGCAACGATTGAATTGAAACAAATCGACCATCGCGTAATTTTGCGTCGCAGAAATAATCTACTCCAATGTCGTTTCCATTTTGCTGCATTACTGGCGTCGCAATTTGTTTCATTTTCTCAAAATCAAATACAAGTACTTCCCGGATCGTTTCCGAATAGATAAAGATCGCAACAGGTCACGCTACTCTCCTACGATGATCATTGATCATCCTACCTAGATCGTTATATTTGAAACCAACTTTATACATTTTGATCTCCGACTTTTCAGTATATTATCGTCAAATGTTTCAAGCAACGCGGAAAATAATATCGGGCCCGTGAAATTCAGGGAAAAGAATCTCGCTCGCGAAGCGTTGGATTAGGGGAGCAATTTACCTTTCTCTCCTTGTCAACGAGTTTGTTGGACGTGTTGTTCGGCGTGATTTTGAAACACGACAGATTGTTGGCCAGGGCAAGTAGAGCGGAGTGTGTGGGTAGAGCGTCCGGGCCTTGGTCGCCCAGGTCCGTCTTTTTCCAGCAGTGCGCGCAGAACAGGTCGCGTCCCTTCAGCAAATTGTTCTCGATGCACCGTAGGCAGAAGTAGTGCTTGCAGCTGAGATACTTGGGACACTGCTCCACGTCATTGTACTTCTGCTTGCAGCAACCGCAAAGCGTCAGCTCCTCCAGGTCCGTTAGCACACTCGGATCCAGCATCTGGAAGCGCAATACACACGTACACATCGTGCGTGCGCGTATCCCACCTTCGTGCCTCGCAAATTTCGTCGCAAAACGTATACGCGCGCGCGATACGCGAAAACACAGTGCACATACACACACACAGACACATGTAAAGCCTCTCTTTTTTTATCTCTCTCTCTTTCTCTTTCTCTCTCTTCGCCTATACCGCGCGAGGGAACGTTAGAATAAAACTTCCACTGCTAGATCGCGGAATCCAGTCGTCGATCGATATCCAACGTAGGTTCGAAAGATCGTGATAAGAAACGCCTCGTGCCGTAACTCGTCGTCATCGTATACGAAAATTTCCTTCAAGTCTGCTACTCGCTCCCAGCGGTGTGTATCCCACCGTTTCCAACCATTCACATCCCGCTCAAGTTTACTCCGGCAGAGGAGGAGAGATTTACCTGTTTGAGCAACATCACGCCGCGAATTACGGAAGCGTAGCTTCCCCTGTCGGTTACGTGCCCCTGAAACAGATCGCGATGACGTTTAATCGCGCCGAGATGCGGCTTCCGCCTCCAGGACGGAATATCGGGGAAACTTTTTCACACAGATATTCGCGCGGTTCTCGAAACGCGACTCGAGAGACAGAAACGCGATGAGTCGCGCACGTTTTACGGACGCGAGGTAGGGAAGCTGCCCTCCGGCGACGGAACTCAACGAGCTTCGGGACCGCGTGTCATGCAGGCACAGCCGCGATTCACGCGGAAGAGGAACCTCGAGCAACTCGCGCGAAGGAAAGAGACTCGTAAAAGGTCACCCGCCGTCAACCGCGTATGTAAACAAAACACTCGGTGTACGCACTTCCCTCGCTGCGCACCGTTCTCCCTCTCTCTCCGCTCTACGTGCTTCGCTCTGTAATCCCTATGTCTCACATCGTCGCTTTTCTCGCGCGGAATCCCTCTCTAAACGTTACTACGATCACTACGTGGTCTCCACGCGCCGACTCGACCGTAGACTCGTCTGCCGTCCCGTCGCCGTGGACTTTCCCGGTTTCAAGAACACGCAGCGCGGCGCGAAACCGCCGCGGCGGCCGCGGCCGCCGTCGTCGTCGTCGTGTCGGCCTATATTCCTTGACCCATATCGCACCTCGTGCGTCATCGAGTCATCGACGTTTTCCCCGTTTAGCGAACGTGCGTCTTCCTCTCGCGCTCTCTCTCTCTCTCTCTCTTTGTGCGCGCAGGGCACGAACGGCGACGTCGTCGTCTCTCGCGGTATTGTTTACGTCCTAATACGTCGTCGGCTGGTCCACTCGTCCGCTTTTTCCCTCTCGCCTTGAGGCTTTGAATGCGCGATTCGGAGGAATCGATACGACGCGGCCGCCGCCGCCGCGTCGTCGTCGCACACGTGACGACGGGTAAACACAACTCGTGCCGCGCGAATTCGATTCGCGTCCGGGATACCTCGAAAGGCGGGAAAGCGCGGACCCCGACGAGACTTGAGCTCGCCCGCGGTGCCGCTCGCCCTTAACCCTTCCCCTCGTGCACCCGTCCGTCGCCTTGATCACCTTGACCGTGCCGCCCTGGGGGGAGTATTTTCGATAAGTGCCGTGTACTGTAAATTACGATACGCAACACGTGATAACACCCTGGAAAAAACGATTACGAGATCTCGCTTCTCGTAGCGCCGTTGCGTGTCCCAGAGGATAACCGATGGCCGCGACACTTTTATTTTTCGACGTCCAGGATGGATCTTTACGTAAACGAGACATCTTAATTTCCGTAACCGTCGACGTTCGCTTCATTTTATGGACAAGAATCTAAAAGAAAAGGGAATGATTCTTTAATTATTCTGAACAGCGCGTATAACAGTGACGATCGTCGAATTTAGAAACGTCGAATTTAAAGTCAGATTTGTACTGAGAAAAACATTTTCTGCATTTTAATATTAGTTATATTTCAGGCCTCGTTCGAAAAGATCTTCGAGGTACTACAGGTTGTAATCTTTTCGAACGAGGCCCTTCATATATTATAATTTCGATCGAACTTCACTTACAGGTAAGTTCGTTTGATCTTCAATTTACATACAACTGTGACTCCAATTACTAAAATGAAGAAAATTTTCCTCTTTATTGGTACATGTGCATTCACCGAGAAAAAACATACTAATAAAAGGGAAAATTTTCTTCATTTTAATAAAGTCACAGTTGTATGCAAACTAATATTTACTAAAATGGAGAAAAAATTTTTTCTCAGTGTGGCTATCCCGTTCTCCGCTCAATTATCATTCAATTTTGCTAAGGGAGCGTAATCAAACGGGTCTCGGCAGATTCCACTGATGTTCGAAACGCGCATTCGCGGCAGCGAGGTACGGCTCAACGTTGAAAAACTCGGCGTCGATAATAAACGTTAATTAAATATCACTTCCGGTGAAACGCTTTAACCCGCGAGTGTCAACCTTTGGACGGAACCACTTCGATGCCATCGGATCGAGTCGCTATCTCTCCAACCGATCGTTCGAATCGACCTTATACTCCGATTTTCTTCCCGTTTAAATAACTCGAGAGAGATTTACGTAGGGTACTTAATACCGTTCAGTCGCGCCGCTGTCTCTCAACAAAAGTTTTCGGAGCGACACGAGTCTCTCGCTTCGAGAAGCGCGTTGTGCAAATACGCGTGGCGCGCGGACGCGTAGGACGTGTAAATAAGAGGACCTATTCGTCGAGGAGAGCAACGATCTGCGCTCTCCGCGGCGAATTGCGTTCCTCGACGGTCGGAGGGATTCCTTATTTACGGCGAACCCTGACGTTAACGCCGACGACGATGCTCCCGTGCTCGTCGTGGCCCGCGGAAGCGCTGTCCCGAAGCGAAAACTTGGGCGAAAGAGGGTTAGGTGGACGACTTTCGGTATCCGGCGCGGTATCAGCGCGATAGATAAGTCATTATGCAACGAGAGGCCTCGAAGAGGAGCCGTCTCGGCGAGCTCGCTCGTCCGCTCGCACGCGCGCGCGCACGCGCACGTGCGAGAGAGCGCGCGACGGAGAGAGAGAGAGTGAGAGAACGGCACCTCGCGACGGTCCGCGCGCATGCGCCGGAAATCCCGCCAAAACCGTCGCGGCGAGATCGTCGCGGAGCGCGCACGGGGTTCGCCATTCTTTGAGCGCGACGTGCCTCTCTCGCGCGCGCGAAACGCAGGAGGGGGGGCGCGAAGGAAGGCAGGGGGCCGACCGGGGCGGGCGGGGGTGGAGGAGGGGGCGACGAGTCCTCGGATCGGAGGCGCCGGAGGACGGGCGGACGGGGTGGAGGAGGAGGAAACGTATCGAGTGCTGCTCGGCGAGGCACTTCCTCGCGACGTCGCGCGTCGCGTCGCAACCGTCCGTCGTCGCCGACGAGACGAAACGGACCGACGGCGCGGCGTCGCGCGCGGTTATCTCGGACCCGGTGAAAAACTCGACCGGATGTTCTCGCTCGCCGGGGGGGGAGGGGGGTTTACCTATACGCCGAGAGCTCCCGAGCCAACCGCCGATCGCGAGTCGCGCGCGGCAAGTCCACAAACCCACGCGGATCGAAAAACCGCTCGTAGAGTGTCGTAGAGACTACTGAGTACTGCGTGTCAGACGGATTCCGCGCGCGGGAATGTGCGCGCGCTCCGTCTCGCTCCTTCCCCCGTCCCTCTCCCCCCCTTCTTCCTCATGGTTGTGCGCGCGCGCATTTTACGCGAGATACATGCATCTATATATTTATATATATAGATATATATATACACACACACATACGCGTATGCTTTCTCTTTCTCTCTTGGCACACGCACACGCACAGCCGCTCCGACACACGCACGCACACGTCCAGACGCTCCGATTCTCTCCCGCTCTCTCTCTCTCTCTCTTTCTCTCCCTCTTTCTCTCTCGGTCTGTCCGCACAGCAGGTTTCATTGCAAATGCTTCCGTACCGTGTATACGTCTCGCGGAACGTCTCCCTGCCGCGGCTATGGAGAGGCTGACCGTTGGCACTCCGTCACTCGCGGCGCGTGCCGCGGCGATGCTCACTGCGCGACGTACGCTCCGGGGGCCGTGCGATTCGGCAACTTTGATTTACATCGGGCCTGACGTCGCGCCGCGCGCTGTTCCGCTCGCACCGCGGAACAACAACCACCACCACTACCACTACAAGGAACAACCACCACTACCGCCGCTGCCGCCGCCGCCGCCGCCGCTGTCGTTGCCGTTCTCGTTTTCGTTGTCGTCGGCCTCGTCGCCACTGCCGCCTCCGCCGCCGTTGTCGTCGTCGTCGTCGCGCGAATCTTTTTTCGCTGAATCGCTTAATGCGGGTTCCCTATTTTATTTCTCTCTTTACCGTAATACGTCTACGTATATTCCCTCTCTATCTCTCCCTCTCTATCTATACGTGTACCGTGTGTGTGTATGTATACTTTTTTGTACTTTTCGCGTTACGTGTTTAATACGTGTTTATCGAACGTCGTGAGTGTTACTGTATGGATAACATAACGACGGCATGCCGGTTAACGCGGGCGCGCGGCTACGGGCCTCGAAGGCTCATACGAACGTTCTGCCACATCATGATGTTTGGTTCACTAAACTAACCACTAGCATGGCGGCGACCGACCGACCAACCGACCGACCGACACACACCGCGTCGCGCGCTCCGTCGCTTACGCGCTTCTCTCGCTGCCTCTCCCCCTCGCCCTCGCGCCGCCGCCGCGCTCGATTCGGCTCTCCTCGTCTCGTTTCGCCCCTGTCCGTTCCTCTCCCTCCCCCGGTTCCGCATGCGTATGTTCCCATACGTCTCTCTGTCGCTAACTAACCTCCCTTCGCCGCCGCCGTCGTCGCCGTGATTGCGTCGTCGTCGCGTCGCGTCGCAACTCCGCTACTCCGCTTCGCTTCGTCCCGGCTCTCGTCGCGTGCGTGGCAAATGGCCACGCGACAACTACGTCGCCAATCACGTGCGGCGCGCGACCGGGGCGTCGCCAATCACGTGCGCGCGCCCCTCGCGCCGCGTCATGGCGGACTGTGAACTGGTCTTTATGGCGGGAACACGAGCCGTGAAAAGAATTTACGGGTATACTATGATGTTTACACGAGCGTTGCTTCTGGAGTAACTCACGATAATTCACTCCGCGTGAACGAGCGAATTGTAGTTACTACGGAAGTAACGCTCGCGTAAATATAGTAGAGGAAAAAGATCGTAGCGCGCGATTCACAATTTTCTTAATAAATGACCTGACTTAAAAATCCCATCATTAGAAACGCAGATAATTCAAAGCGTCAAATTGTGATATACAAATGCGAAGGTAGCCTATTTAATAAAGAACGCGAAAAAGGAATATAGATAGCGTGTAGTTATGTATTTGAAAAAATGGTAGAAATAAGTATGTAAAATCTTTTTTGTCCACTGAAATAATAAGTACGGTTTTACAACATAAACGTCTACTTTTTTTTCTTCAGGAGAAAGATACGTATGGAAACGAGGTGACGAGACTAGCAAGACCTCTGCCAGTAGAATACTTATTGGTAGACGTACCTGCGTCCACTCCGCTTACCCCACAATTTACTTTCTTCACGGAAGACAACATCACTCCATTTCCAGTTGAAAACAGGTATGCAGATAAATACATATATGTATACATGAATATAGTTATTACAGTTATTCATATTAAATCTATGTTTCACAGGCAAATCGATGGACAGGTCCAGGAATTCAATTCATTGTGCACCTACATGCAGCAATTTAACAGCGATCAATTTCTGGAGGCGACTTCCGACTTTCACTTGCTCCTCTTCATCGCTACCATGGATATGTATCCAATGAAGGTGCAACTTCTTACATTTCTGACCTATAGAGTGGCAATATTATGATTTATTACTCAGTTACCCGGGATAGTTTGTTTACGTTTGTACACTCGCTGCCATTTGTCACAATGGAATAATACTTTCCATTCAAGATTTCCTTGTATCGTGTGTGGAAACATTGAACTCGAGTCTTTCTTTCATCTAAGAAGCAACCAAGAGGCTTTATCACCAAGCTCTCCAATATTCCAATGATAATATTGACAAAAATACTCTGTCTTACAGGACCACATGTTGCCGCTGCTCGAAGCTATTCGCAATAAGGACAAGCAGAAAGCAATGGAGTGGGCCCAGTCGGAGCATTGGGCGACGGTGGAGCAGCTCATATCCGTGACCTCCACGTCGTCGCGTCCGCCGCAAACCTCGTCCTTCGGTAACAACTCGAGGACGTTGCCTGCCGCGGCCGCGGAGGCCAGCGGCGGGATAGGCGTCGGTACCGAGCCGATCGCGAATCCGCCGCCCGACCAAGCTCTCTGGACCTGTTCCCACTGCACTTTTCTCAATGCCGCGGACTTAGCAGTTTGCGAGATGTGCAATCTGCCAAGGTACTCGTAATAAACTGTCAGAAGCGCTAACGGCGAAATTCAGTGTGCGTTTAAGGGGTGCTGTCTTTGAATCTACTACTTCGCTTCCGCAGGATCTGACGTGTAACGCGTCCTTGCGGATGTAACGATTGTTTTCTACGCATCTTTGGCCTTATTTATGAGTGAATAAAAAAAAAAAAGGAAGAAAAGAAACACCACAAAAGTACTTTCCGACTGACGTATTTCCCTCACCCCTATCAGGCTTCTCCCCGTAACATAATTTTTTTTTTAATCCGTAACCAGTTTGCCACGGTTCGGCGGCCTAAATATTAATCCTAGCAGAATGTCTTGTGAAGTTGTGACTTACAAAATGATTTTAACAGATCAGAAATATTTACTATGAATTTTTTATATGTTTACAGAGGAGATGTTGAGGAATATGACGAAGAAATGATGAGGGAATTGTTTTGATAACAGAATCATGAGTTCAGGAGTTCAGTCGAGCCTAACGATGCTACAAATGTTAGAAATTTGCATGAATATTCGGCATTAAACAATTTATGGATCTTATGTACATCATATATATATATTTTTTCATGAATAATATTCAACTATTATTCCTTAGTATCAGACACACGTAATATCTTGCGAGATAACTTGCAAAGAAATAGTTATCGCAAATGAAATGTAAGGGTATATAATTGACTGATGAAAGGGAACTAGAAACATGTAGGCTCTTCAAACGTTATATATATATATATCCGCTGTTTACTTAAATATCATATTCCAAATAAAGTTTTTTCTCTTATCGTTAATAATAATTGACACGTAAGGACAGCTTGCTTTCTCCGCCATCCTCCAGTCTCTTCGATCCTCACTTCGGCAACATAAACTCCTTGCAACAAATTCTCGAGACAACAGCGTCAGCCAGACTGGTGACGCGCAATTCATCCTCGTCGATCTTGTAAGTCTTTTTTACCAGATTCACATCCGTAAATTCTTGCAGCCTCGAAATGGGTATCCTCTCTCCCTTGACGCTTTCCAAGATCTCCTCCAGCATGGCTCGCTCCTCGCCAGGCTTGTGTATCAGTATCACCAAGATGTTCCTATCGCCGTCACCGATACCGAACTCGATCAAGGAACGAGATATGTTCTTCGACATGGACAGGTAGAACAAAACCTCCGTGTACACGGTCCTGGTGATCAGTCGATTTCGCTTAGCGCTGAGGGCGGCTTTGTTGGCAGCCACCACCGCCTGAAAAGCATCGGTTATGAGCGCGACTTTTGCCACGCAACAGCGAAGCTTCCCGGCGACGAGCTTCTCGCGTATCTCCGAGGTATTCGCGACATCGGCGAACAGGTGCAACGTGCAGCAGAGGCCGGCCTCCTGATCCAGCTCGACGCTGTAATCATCCATGTCAGCTGTTACAGCAATTACCGATGATTATAAATTGGTGTGTCAGTCGACTCTGTTCGCCCGGATGATCAATCTCGCGTTCGGTCTTCTGTTAGAAAATACCGCGACGGTCGTACGATCGCACGTCGCGTTTCAGTGATGACTGACAGATGCTCGGAAGACTCGTGTAATTCTGACTATTCTGAGCGAAACGCAGCACGACTAATAAATAATACAAAACATATCGCCGCGCCGGTTTGGTTCTACGGGAGCGTATGTACATATGTATGTAATGAAGAATGCTTTGCCGTGCGCTAACGCCATCTCTAAACATTACAGCTGGAAAAGGAATCGCAAATGGTAAAGGAATGAGAGACGCGGGAAAGAAGAAAATTTATCGCAGGTAGGTGTACTAAACAGAATAAAATAATTATAAATTGTAATGAAAATATTAAAAATAGATAAATAAATATTGTACTATTTTTATGATAACGAAAGAATTATATAATAACTTTGTCATATGTGGTTACTTTCTTCAGGAAAAATAAATTTAAACAATAACAAATTGTAATACAATTAATATTATTTGCCTAAAATTATTTTTCATGTTTTTAAATATATTTTTGTATAGGTAAACGTTCATGTAATATTTTTAAGTTATCCAGATGTATTATTTTTAAATTTTTTTGTTCATTATTTGCAATAATAAAATATATGATTAAATTATTATTAATGTATTGAAAAATATATGTTAAAACGGAAATCAAATATAGATAAAGTACAGTTAAATATATAGAGATATGTGCGAAAGAATGTCATCTGCGACTATATCATTAATCATAATTAATTTTAATTAATTGATTAAATTAATTAATTAAATTAGATAAAAGATATAAATATTAAACGTCTTGAAGTTTGGAACTTCTCTACGAGAATGTGACATGTGACATCTCATCTGTCAAATGACTGATAACATTGCATATTACGTTCTCGATGCATAAAAATTGTGGATGATCATGATTGCCGTATACAATTGCAAGATTGGAAAAAATTGATTTCTCTCATCGCCCATTATGACGGATGATACATCGGCCGAGAATATTTTAGAACGATTATTCGACTACGGTATCTTTTATCAATCAAACGTTACATATCGTTGTTCTATTTTACAACATGCACATTTAATATAAAATCCTAGTCAGCATCGTTTGTAAAAATTAAAAGAAAAATTATTTTGAATTACTTGCACAGTACAATTAGGGGTAGAATGGGGTTCGGAGAAACTTAAATCAGCGTGCCCTTCCAAAAAGGGAAAACCGAGAAAGAGATGTAAATCGAAACAGGCTGAAGAAGAAGACACCGACATAGGTCCACCTTGTACGGAACAACGGTCGTACATACTTCCTAGTCAAATCTGTCCCAAAACGATCTCTTGTTGTTATATAAAAATGCAGGTACAAAACAAAAATCAAATTGCTAATATTGTCAATTATCATGCTTTCTAAACTGATTATCAGGAAAGCATGAACTTTTTTCATTATTGAACAATTCTCTGCATTTTATTATTATATATTTTAAATCGCCAATCGAATGAGGAAATCCAAACCACCCTTTTTGCATGATAAATATATCTTGTAAAAAGCAAAATTAACTATAGCTCACTAAATTAATAAAAAGGGCGTGAGAAATTGGAAGATTATTCAATGCAAGTTTTTAAGCAGAGTGAGAAGATACACATGTATAAAATAAATTATTATTTTTATAATTATAGAGATAATTATCTCGATGTGATTAAATTTAAAATTAATTAACAACTTTTGCAATCCTCTCTTGTAAACAATTTTTGCGCCCCTGACTTATATCATTCTTCCATTGAACCCTTTAGTTGCAATAATTTACAGGATCCTTATGCTCCGTGCTGTTGCGAAACGAAGCCGCAACCACCCCCATGTCCCCCTAAATGCTATCGTCGGCGACCGCGAGAACCAACCTGTGGCTGTGATCTCTGCAAAAAGAGAGTTGACAGCAAGTGCTGTGATCCGATCACGGCTTTTCGCAGTGCAGCCAGCGATTCCAAATATTTCGAGAAAGCATAGAAATTTGTAAGATTTAATTAGCTCAAGGTTATCCACGAGAAGACACAAGCAGTAAAAGTGTGTTAAAATAAAAAGAAGCTAATAGCAATTATAATTACAATCATCGAATAATCAGATTTTCTGGTATATATATGCTCTGTATACTTAAATATATGCTCCCTTAACATCCGCTTTCTCTCTCTCTCTCTCTCTCTCTCCCCTACATATTGATCTCTCTTAATTATTTATGGCAATTATTTTTATCGCTTTTGCATGAATCGACATTTCTTTGTGATTTGTTTTTCAATTCATACTACGTTTACGCGAGCGTTACTTCTGTAACAACTTGCGATAATTTACTCCGCGTAAACGAGTGAATTATCGTAAGTTACTACATAATAAGTAACACTCGCGTAAATGTAGTATCAATGTAGTAATTGTAGCGCAATCATATATTGCGATTTACGTAAAAAATGATTACTGTATATAAGAAATGTAAAAGGTTTAATGGTTATTTCATGATACGTAAAGTAGATACGTAAAGTAGAGAGATAGCAAAGGATGGAATACAGCAAAATACAAGTGCATAGCTCTTGTATTCTTTGTTTAGCTTGATATCTTGTATATTCCACCTGTTTATTGGGATATACGCCAAACGGGATTTTTAGGGACTGCGCATAATGAAAGGAATATAGGGAATAGGGAATAGGGAACAGGGAATAGGGAACAGTTCAATATATTCTGTAGTCAGAAGGCAGCATCGTGCGCCTGCGCAGAGTACACAAAGTGCACGTGCACTTACTCTACTAATAAATTATTAATACCAGCTATAACCTATATATGCAGCACAATCACACTTTGTACGAGGTTTATTTTGCACAGACGTCACAATATCCATCGTGTACGTTGTTGTAGATATCGTTGTAGATATCCACGTGTCCCTCGGATAAGGTGTGTTGTGTGGATAATAAATTAACATAATAATAATAACAACAGTAATAACATTAATAACATAATATTGTCTAGATATTGTCTCAAAATGCCGACGTTTTACGGTCAACGAAAAACAAACCGAGGCGCTTGGACACAAGAGAATCTTGATAAAGCTCTCAAAGATTTACAAAAGGGAAACGTTTCAATAAGAGAAGTTGCTTTAAATAATAATATTCCTGAAAAGACCCTCAGGACTAGATTAAAACAAAATAATTTTATCAAAGGAAGATTAGGTAAGAAATGTTATCTTGGCGAAGAAGTTGAAAAACAGCTAGTAGAACACATTAAGAAACTTCAATCAGTAGGATTTGCACCTTCAAAAAAAGAAATAAGAAAAATAGCTTTTAATTTATCCGAAAAAATGGAATTGAAACAAGTTTTTAATACCGAGAAAAAAATTGCTGGATCGGATTGGTACAAGTCATTTATGAGAAGAAATCCTACACTAATTATTAGGAAACCCAGAAAAACGTCAAATGAAAGTGCGAATGCAATGAATAAACAAGACATTGATAATTACTTTCATTTATTGAAACAATGTCTCAATAATAATAACTTGACGAATAAACCAAGTCGTATTTACAACATGGATGAGACTAGTCTGCAACTGAATAATGAGCCTGATTTTATAGTGGCTGCTGAAGACAGTAAAAATGTTCAAGCTCGTCAGTGTACCGAAAGGGGAGAAACTATTACAGTAGTAGCTTGTTGTAATGCTGAAGGTTCATTCTTACCACCGTACTGTATATTTAAAGGTGTTAGAAAGCAAAAGATATGGGAAGAAAACATGCCACCTGGATCTGTTATTCAAATAAGAAAGGTATTATTTATTCTGTATCAAAATATATAGATGTTATTATGCATAATGTTTAATATATTACAAATATAAATGTATAATTTAATAAATAAATAACTAAATAAATAAATAAAATAATAAGGAATAAAAAATAAAGAAAGAAAAAAATAATTTTACAACTAATAATTTATATATTATAAATTAAATTGACAAATAAATATATGTATAAATTCTCATCTATGAAATTAATAAAGAAAACAATAAAATAGCAATTTATATTTTGGATTACAGGAATCCGCTTACATCAATGAACAGCTCTTTATGGATTGGCTGAAAAACCATTTTATTCCAAGAAAGAGTAGAGAACAATGTTTATTGATTTTGGATGGCCATAGATCCTATATAAACTCTCCTGATATACTACAAATGGCAACGGACAATAATATCCATATACTTTGCTTACCCAGCCATACTACAGACTATTTTCAACCACTTGATAGAGCATTTTTTGAACCTTTAAAAACATATTTTCGAGATGCTTGCTGTGAATGGGGTAATGCAAATCCAAACAAAAAGATTGGAAGAAATCATTTTGGTCTCTTATTAACAAAAGCTTGGTTACGAGCAGCTACTGTCCAGACGGGAATATCAGGTTTTAGAGAGACAGGAATACACCCTTTCTGTCCATCAGTAATACCAGAATATGCATATCTGGAAAATGCGATTCAACATGAGGTATCCTCTTCTTCAGAAAGTGATAAAGAGATATTAACAAGCACTCCTGTAACAAATTTATTAAGCACTCAGATGTGCATAATGATAGATGAAAGTATGGCGCAGCCTGGACCGAGTAACTTATGTCAGCAACGTGTCTTTTTAGATACAAGTCAAAAAAATGAATGCGAAAATGAATGCGAAAATGAATGCGTTGAATGTTACGAATCGTATGACAATACATTACCCAAAGTAAATTGGATTCAGTGCATTAAATGCAATAAATGGTTGCATGAAACGTGTACCTTATATTATAATATATGTAACTTATGTAAGAGAATGGAACTAAAAAGAGCAAAAGAAGATAAAGATAAAAAAAAATTTAAAGAAGCAAAGCTTTTATGAGGAAGCAATAAAAAGAGGACATTAAATAAAGAAAACTTTCAAAAAAGGGAAGAAAAGCAAAAAAAAAAAAAACTCGAGAAAGAAAAGTTAAAAAGTATTAAAGTTGAAAAGTAAAATATTCTCAAATAAGTTTAATTACAGTTAAAAATTCAGCTACTCTGTGTTACTATAAAGATATTAGTATGAATAAAGTTTATTAACATAGGTATTAATAAATGTAAAGATTTCATGTATTATAATAATAATATTTTTTTTTTTTTTTAGAAAGGAACGAAAATTCTTATGTGTTCTTTTTCTTTTTTTTTTTGTATAACTCGTATAATTTTTTTATCGTATAGATAAAAATATAATGATTGAACAATTAATAGTAAATAGCCTTCAAAATTATCTTAGCGTAATAAAACAAAATATATCTCATTGGAAATTTAATCTGATTAAATATAAAAAATTTCTTGCACATGTAAAAAATCGTAATTTAATCCTTCTATCATCTAAATTCTCATATAGATATTTATTACAATTGTTTTAATAGTAAATCTAACATTTCATACATTAAAATCATATTTTCAGAAAATGAATTATTGAGTACTGAGACGCCCACTTTAGATAATCTATAATCTATAATCAAAATTTCGTTTATAACTTTACGTTGTGCATTTTTATATATCAGTATTTTATATGTCTGTAAAGTATATATTTATATGCATTTAAATACATGTTTAATGTATGATTTGTATTCTTATTCTTCACAAATATTTTTCCTATTATATTAAATAATATGTCGAATTATATCTTGAATTTCGACACAAATTATATAGATCGTTTAAAGTGTACTTTTATAGATTGCTTAAAATAAATATAGTACTAAATATTTCCTTCATCGAATATATGTATTTTACATTTTACGTTGTAAGAAGTAGAAGAACCTATATTTAAGAAACATTTGAAATTCTAAGTGGAAATATCTTGTATGTTTCTGTTTGCCACGCAGTGTTCTCCGTAATTGATTACAATAATAAATTGCGCGCGCAGTATACTCATCGGTTATTCAGGGGGAAGATTAAATTTAGGTGTTTCGTTCACTTCTAGTCAGAACACGCGTATCTACCTACTCCAGCACACCAGAGTTATCAGAGTTATCGGCGGTGTTTGACTAGCGCCTGGCGCGATCGATCCAGTTGTCTCCAAGATACGTTTGTTCCAGCCGAAGCATCGAATATCCCGTTGCTTTAAACGTAAGTCGACAATAATGTACTTCGAATTGGGAATTATATACATTCTTCGGGTTTCTTTATCGCGTACACGCCATTCCTGCAATCGCCTATTTTATGTCATACTTTCCGTACAATGGAACGATATCTGATGGGAAATGGGAAACTAATCTACCGTAAGATAAATCTAACAAAAAGACACCATTAATGTCACGACAAACTACACGTATTTAAGATTGCTTTCAGTCGTTCTTGCATCGGTATTTTTGAGTATTATCGGCACATTATCAACATGTCGGTTCTTTTAACAGCACAGTGATACCTTCGGCAAAAACTTTCGTTTATTACAGTAAAGTTTATTTATATTGAGCTTTCGATTTCGCGAAGGCGATCGGCATCAATTATATACGAGAAACGAGAAACTGTCGAGAAGACTTTTGTCGTTAGCCGATGTTTTTTTTTTTACAACGGTCTGATGGACTTCTTTCTATTTAATTACGTAAATCGCTAAGTAGCGATTATCGTATTAAAACCGGAGTGATCAATATATCTTTACAGTTACGTAATTAGTTTAGCGGAATTTCCCGTTTCTTATCATTCCGCGAATTTAGGCAGTTAAATCCATTTTTAATTACTGCGGCGATAAACACGGCACACATAAAACGTTTTAGAATAAATTCCTTAACGAATTGGAGCTGATGTTTTTCCCGAATTAATTTCGAAACCATTTCCGATTTACATCCGTTTCTATCAGTGTAGATTAACTTTGATCTCGGCTTAACTTACTTCTTATCTTTCTCTAATGTCCATTTCTACCAATGCCGATTAAATTTAATCTCGGTTTAACTTGCTTTTTATCCTTTTCTAATTTTAAGAACTAGAAAAAAATGAAAAGTTAAACCGAGATTAAAGTTAATCTACATTGATAGAAATAAATATTAATGGAAACAGGAAAGAAAGACTTCTCGCGCACTGAACATCAAACATCACACTAAATATCAAATGGATACTAATGCTAATATTTACGCTTCACACACTGTATCGATACTATTTATTTCTATTCCGACAAGTCCTCGTTGTATTGAAGAGCAACCATTATTAACAGCAATCAATTATTATTATTGATATATTATATTTCTTGTTGTGCAAAATATTTCGATAATACATATAATAAAATTCTCCATAAAAATGTAATCCACAAGCATCAGCCAAACTAGTTGTAAGGAGAAAGCTCATGACAATTCTCGCATTTTTTTAAATTTGTACTTTAACTTTTTTTATCTTAACTTTCCGTAAATTTTCGTCCGATCGTTTCCGATCGAAACGGACCGTAGGCGTGCGCGATTAGCCTACAATGTCACATAGATAATTTTTACAATTATGTCTCGTTTGATGAGTCAGTCATCAGTTAGTCGAGCTGTTCGCCAACTCGACACCTGTTGATACCAGTTGATACGCTCACAGGCACAGGCACAGGCATGGCCTTTCGTGCTTTCTGTCGACCAAGTCGCGGTATATCGATTCCTGGCCGCGATACCCGACGGCGATACCTCGACCTGACGAGGTATCGCACGAGTGACTTGGGATCGATCATAACTCGATGACGATTGACATGGTGGACGAGTGAGTGCGAAACGCAGGATTTACGGAACGATTCACGCAACTGCGTACTTATAAATATCGGAAACCACCAAGTGCCGAAAGCTCGTGTTTGCTGCTTTTCCTGTCAATCGCCGATTGGTAAATCAACTCGCAGATTTATTGTAATGATTGTCCTGCGACAACGACGCACATCGGTCTCGTTTCGTGGCTCGTATATGAATCATACTATCGCGAGAAAATATACCTTACAGTTCGGGTGACGTCAATGTTTATTTAATTAGCTGCGCAATTGAAGATTCCACTCTTTAGGGGCCGTAAAAACGAAATAATTACAATTAAATAATTATAACTGCAAATAATTTTGTAATTGCATGATCGATGTATGTAATTACATGTCAATCGATATGATTTATAATACGATATGATCTATCGATATGATTTATAATGATTATCGAAGTAGCTCTTAGAAAAATTTGATTCCGTTTCTTACATTAAAGTGGAAAATAATTTGTCTTTTATTTAAATTAAAATTAAATTGTCAGATAGATTGATGATATATCTTGATACATGACTAAATATTGTAATAATATAACATGATATTTGTAACTCTTCTTTTATTCTTTTTAATTTCATATTATAGTAATTTAAAATATAGTGTGTATTTAACATAGAAAACTTCTTTTGAAAAAGCTTTGAGATTTTAAAGAAATTTTTTACTGTCTTGAAAACTATAAGTTTCTGAAATGTTATAATTTTCAGCTTGAAGTAATATAAAGACAGTTATTCACAATACGTCAGATTTGATTATTGATTTATTTGCGTGCTCAAAGTAAAGTCGAAGAGATTAAAAAAAAAAACTTTTCTTTGCATTCTACAACGTACTTACTCTCGTTGCATAGAAGTATAAATTTTGAAATAAATGAAAGTATCTTTCGAATTTTCCAAACAGCCTCGTATTCAAGGTTGTAATGATACTTTACGGAATGTCGGTTACGTTTATATATCAAAGACCTTGAAACAACACAGAAATACACGACGTATACTATAGTATAAACGTATGTACTATATAAGCATATATAAATAAACGCAAACATGTTGAATATAATAGTATAAGTGTAATAATATTTTAAATATAATTGTCTTTATTTAGTTTGAAGCAGTAAGTACGTGTCCGATGAAAATCAAATTTTTCATGAGCAAGAAATCTATTTATACTTATAAAATATCTGAATAATAATGAAAGGAAGTAGGGATTCCTTGTATTTATGTAGTTACAGAGAAATAATACAAATATTCATTTAGATTTTACAATAATTAAACAATAGAGTTAATTTTTGAAATAAAAAAATCTACTGTTTCTTTTAAATCATTAAATCATTTACTTGCCGTCTTCATCTCATTGTAAAGCTAATTAAAAATCTTTGCGTGTCAGTCGCTTCTTCCATTTCTTTTGCTTCTCTCATTTCCCTTTCTCCTATACTTTCTAATTACTCAGGATACGTATTATGGAATTGTTTAGTTATTTCCTAGATATCTATTATGTTTTCTAGGAAATATAGAATAATTCCGATCGGAATCCATTCCGAAAAGTTCCATAATACTTACCCTGATCAGTTCATGGAAAATTTCGGGGGAAAAGCCGGTTTATCTCGGGAGATCTTTTATCGTCGGGTTCTTAAAAGCTAGCGGTGATGTGAAGCAGGTAGCAAAAGTTAAAATAGCTGACCGTTCCGCATAATTTGGTGACGTAGCTATAGACTGTCTTCGATGACGCTATTGTGTAACGAGAAAAACACTCGGATTTCTACATTTATTTTTTTACGTTATATAATTACGTTCGTTGAACTTGTAAGAAAAAAAGAAAATTACTTACGCTCCTAAATTAATTGGCAAAAATCATATAAAGTTTCATAGTTCCCCTGAACTATGAGCAAACTATGGTTGCTTTTGCACCAAGCTCTGCTTTGGTTAATTTTCATTAATTGAAGTAAATTAAATATATTTATTTAAAATAATTTTTAACTATTGGGAAAGTCTGAAGTAATACGTGCAATCCTAAGAAAATTAAGAAACCGCCTATCTAGATTTTCAATATCTTATCTATTATCGAAATACTCGATTTCGTTTAATTCTTATACCGTCGCGAGACTACGATATAAACAAGTTGTAACGTCTCAAACTATAGGATAATCCCGTAGAATAACCGGTTTTGCCGCGTAATATATCTCTCCACGCGACTTTTCCCTGTTCGTCTCCGTAGGAAGCATATTTTTTTACGGCGATGGATATAAACTTGGCCGTATTGTAAGATAATAAAAGTCACAGCGAACTAAACATAAATATTCTCACACTATAGTCTGGTCTAAAATAGCAGCGTAAAAATATTCATTAATTTTTTGAATGAATAAGATTAATTGAATTTCCCCTTATGATACACGTATTCCGATTGAAAAATCCAAATATATTATTTCATTAGATAATATTATTAAAAAAAAAAAACGAAAATTAATACTCGCAAAACAGATTAATATGCTTTTCTTGTAATTAACAGGCCGAATGTAATGCTTATGTAACACTCAACTAACTTATAATTAACGAACGAAATATATAAATATTATATTAATTCGAAAGAGATGTTAAACTTTTCTTTCTTTTTCCTTTTTCACCATTTTCCTAAGCTTCGTTTTCTTCTCTATTTGATGTTTCTCATGTCTTTTCCGTGCCATAACAGGTCGTTAAGACAAGAGTATGTAAAAAATGCAGATGAAGCGCACCTGCACAAATGTTTGCCCGATTACTTATGGAGATCAAAGTCGAGGGAAAGTGTTAGTACGTTTATGAATTTAACCTTGCACTGGGCAACTGGTTTCCTAGAACTGGTTTCGTACCACGTAAAAATAAATCCTTCGCTCAGTAGGATCTTTCCAATGATCGTTCAAAAAGATACCAAAAGGTCTAAATATAACTTTCCATAACTTAACATGTAACTTCAAGATTGTTATAATTAGCAAATGGAAAGAAACAAAATAAACCCACGCACAGAATAAGGTGAAAAATACAGCGATAAAATCGGTGAGATGACTGGGGCAAAACAGAGAATCAAAAATTGAAACCGTTCGACTTCGACGAGTCCAATCTCCGATGCTGTAATTTCGTGAAGGTAATTCTTAGTCAAGTGTCAGGTGTCGTAAAAAGAATATAGAAGAATTATTTTCACAAAAATGATTGTTTAGCTTGACTCCACTGACCATATTTATTAAATCGTAATCTTCACGTTTCGGACCATTGGTTTTGGTCCTTTTCAAATATAATCTAATCGTAAGTCATAAAAGTGAAAATGTGGCTTTCCACAAAATATCCTTATATACCAATTGTAAAGTTTTGTCTAGAAAGTTATAGCAAATTTTTTTATTAAGCCACATTTTTATTTTTACTTGTAGATTACACTTGAAACGGACCAATGGTCGTTGTGAAAATTACGATTTAATAAATACGGCCATAGTTGGGTCGAACTAAACGATCATTTTCGTTATACTTATTACTGGCGAAGAAAAGGATTATTTTCTGTCAATTATCTTCATACGTGCCTCTCGAGCCTCGGGAAACGATATTATATCCGCGGGTTCAATCTCCGCGGTTAGGGGAAGTCTCCTTTGCGTTCTCCGTCCTTGAATCGAGCCGTGCTCGATCACGATCCAAGTCGACAATTGGCGCGAAAAATCCGGCAGTCAGCTTTTCGCGCAGGAGAAGGCGAAGAAGGAGGCGATGGATCGTTGCGCGATTGCATTTTCGGATCTCCCTGGTAGCCGCGTGTTTGTATTCCACGCCGGTTATGACGCGTGTACCTCAGGGTCGCGATCGCGGATCGATTAAGGAGCACCGACACCGATTCGAGTCGCACGGACGCGCGCTTCCTCACGATTGGTCGTGCCGCTACGATCGTATACGTCGACGGACTTGTTTCTCTTGGCGGGGGCTGGGGTTTTCCTGAGGAGAGATACGGGCTATTTTATGTTCGCTCGCCGGATCGTCCTCCGCAGTAAGCATTCGGTGTTCGAAGGAGACAAGTTTGTTGAGCAAGATGCGTACACGTAAGTAGATTCAATTAATCGGTAAGGAAGCGAGCTGATCGGATTTCAATGGAGTTCAAGTTTATTTATTTCTTCGTTTCACGATCGACATCGGACGCGAGCAAATTAAAAATCCCTCCTTTATAGATCCGCGAAATAGGGACTAAAACTGGTGTAATTTCGATGACTTAAGATTTCCCGAGGTTATGAGAAAGTGACATGCTTATTTGTGATAATTGTGACGTCTCTTAACCGCAAAGATTGAACCCGATATAATCTTGCGAAGATTGAAAGAAATAATTCCCAAGTTCTTTTTCTCTCCGTCTAAAAGATTTAACTAAAACTTCCAGATCTGTTTTATCGTCTGTAAAAATATCTTCGCGCTTTAGAAATTGGAGAAATTCTTATTATTAATTATATGTGTATAATTTTGTGTATATATAATCTCACATATTGTCTCTTAGATTTACATGTATTTGTATTTATGAAAGTAATTGATCGATATGTTATAAAGTGGTATTTTATAGAATATATTAGTGTTTGTGGAATTTTTCAATTTAGCATAACACGTAAGCAAATCATTCGACTCCTATTTGATTCCGTTCCGGTTAGTTTATTTTGACTTGAAAGTCACCGCTTTTATTCTTGTTTTTGCCTACGTGATATCCCTTCACATAACTTTGAGAAGTCACAGTATGAAAATTTCTTCGAAGAACTTTGAAGGACTACAGATTTATTATTTATTTTATTCAACTTATTTCTATTATATACTGGGAAAATATATTTTAAATCTAAACATAATTTTAACGATAGAGGATTTATTCAAACATCCGCGCGCTTGCATACAAACATTTCCAAATTCACGAAGAAACTTTCTCAAATTTTTAAAGTTAAATCCAACTTTGATATACATTTGCTAAAAAACTATGCGTTTATTTGTCGAGAATTTAAGAAGATATTGCAAAAGATTTAATATATAAAAAGAAAGGACTTTCGCGCCAGACGAAATCGCGAAAGGGCATTCGAGAGCTAATATGGTGAAAGAGAATAAACCCGAAATTTGATTTTTTAATTAGATTTTTCTTAGCTTCTTATAATTCCTTTCGCGTCAACAAGATCAAATAGACCATCGATTGCCTTTGCAACCGCGATAACCCCAAACGCTCTCTCTCTCTCTCTCTCTGCACAAGAACGTGCCGTTATTGGACACACAAGTCTGGCCGAATCCCTTCTGATACGACGACGTGTTATCGATACGCACCGAATTGACATATCGGCGATAATGCTCTCCGGCGAGTCATAATTCTGAGACTCCAAGGTGATCCGTGCCGGATACCATTCTCGCCCGGTGTGATTCATTTCCAGAGTTGCGCAGCGTGAACTTTTCTTTCATTATCGGTTGATTAATACCGTCACATCAGAATTAACCAGATTTGCTTTGCGTTTATAATGCGCACGATGCAGCTAATTAGCTGCGTATAAATTTATCGCAGGATATCTCGACGCGATTATACTGCTTCCGTGTTACGCATCGTGTGCTTGAGTTCTTTATCAGACAAAGAAAAAAAAAGAAAAAAAAAAGAAAGATTTTGAAGGAACGGTATGCGTTAGTTTGAAATTTACATAAACGTACGGCTTGTTATGTTTTATAAAAATTTAGAATGAATATAAAAGAACTATATCGCACACAGATCGAGAAGAATACTGTTACAATTCAAAAATTCACAATTTTTAGGAGAGAGGAAAAACAAATTTAATTCAATTTTTTTTAATTGTGAGATAATTAACACAGTTGCAATTATGATATTTTGTTATAATGAAACTTATACTTCCTCCCCCCAAGATATCTGCTTGAAGACGTGCCAATTCACTTATGGCACTATTCATCCAGCAACCGCAACTTAATTGGGTTAAAAGAATAATGACACTTCTCTCTCTCTCTCTGCTTCCGTGGGACGAATTTTGCATATAGGACTTGTAACACTATTATAGCATGTAGGAAACACCTTAGGCTATACTTTTTATGTACTTAACTCAAAATCGAAATTTTTGAGTTGTATTTTTCTCGGCGATATAGTCTTCTTGCGAATAATTGATCATCGTAAGAGTTATGTACTATTTTTACATCGATGAGCAATGAAATCGCATTAATGTTCAACGTATCACTTCTTCTAGCGTATAAACGTGTAAAAATAAGTAAATAAATTCAAAAATGAGATAACTCGAGATAACGGCGCGTTCGATTCACGATGCAATGGAATTCTTTTATCATGTCGCAATTCCGATGTGATAATATATTTATCTTGCGCTTGATGTTATTCTAGACACAAAACACAACAAACCCAGTAAAACTTTATCGTTCATATCAATTTTACCGTACATAAGCGATAATTTAAGATACATACATTACGATTCATAAAAAACTATTTATCTCCCCATAAATTTGCAATACACGACCATAATTATGCGACTTATCACTTATTTTTAGTTTACATTAAAGGCATTTCATGCTTTTAACATAAAATAATATGCAAAAGAAAATAATCAAAAGTATTCTTTTAATTCTTTGCAAAAATTCTATAAAATCTTATACGATCATAAGATAAAGTCGTGCGTCATTAATATCAGGAAAAGAAAAAAATGAAGATGAACGAAGAAGAAACTCGTAATTTCGGGGAGAAATTCCCGAATTAAATATAATTATACTATATATAGAGAGCTTACAACGGCATGTCGACTAATCGATTAAATTTCAATTAAATTATTCCGGCAGTGTTTCTATCAGAAAAACATCCGTCTCTTTTAAAATAAATTTTCCATTCATTCTATTAGAAAAACATTCGTCTTTTTTAAAGTAAATTTTCCATTCATTTCTTCTCTAAACATGTGGAAGTCATTACTGCTATCAAGAAAGAAACCATTGCACTAAACAAGATTACTGTCGTATCTTTGTCCGCCTATATCCATCGTATATATGTATCTAGTTGTCATACATGATTAGTCGTACGCACATAATGTGACTGTTACATTAGCAATCTTAATGGGTTTTCCCCGACGAAGCTCCAGGAAACATCATCAGTTTAATGGTCCTGCGATATTCTTATTTGTTATTTCTGTTTTATCGCGTTAAATGCAGTGATATCTTGTCATATATATTTTGATATTGACTAACTTTTACTTTAAATAATTCTGGGAATTATACGAGCGTCATATTTTGCGTAATATTTGCAATGCGATGAACATTTTGCAATACATTTAATGACATTTAAATTACTTGAAAATAAAAAAATCTGCAAACGTCATATTCTTGGAAAATTTAATTTCTACCAAAGTTACACTGAGAAAAAAAATTGTTAATCCAGTTAATCCCAAAAAATATTTCGTCCGATACGTTCAACTAAATTTTAGTTAGTTAACTAAAAACATTAGTTGTTTCAACAATTCATTTAATTTTTTTAATCAAGAATTAATTAATTCAACTAATGTTTAGTTAACTAAGTAAACAATGTTTAGTTAACTAACAACGTTGCAAAAGTCTGCAAATTTTATAACAACATTAAATTTTGCAACAACGTTAAGAAAAATCATTTCAGTTTTATAACAATATTAAGTTTTGTGACAACATTAAGAAAAAAATCAAAAGTAATGATTTTTCTATAAAATAATGTCACTTCTAACAAAAACTATTTTTAGAATACTGATTTTTACTTTTATTTTTATTTTCATGTTTATAATCTTCTGACGTCTTATTTTTATCAGTTTAAAAAAAAATGTTACATATATTTATTAGCATAGCGATAGCGATATAACTTGACGCAATTTATTTTCGATTTAGCACAATTGTTGTTGCAAGCACAAGATTTTTCAATAATTAGAGATATCGATAGAAAAAGATTTAATGATATCGATAGATATCATTAAACAGACATAATATTGACACATTCTTTGCGCTTGTCAGCATATATATAACGGTCCGCAAGTAATATGTACTTTATATTCTTTTCGTGATCGTTTTTGTTACGCAACAATGTAATTATCTATATGTGCAGAGTGTCCCAGGTTCATTATCCTCCCTTCAATGGCAAGCACTGAAGGCCAAAGATCGAACGACTGTTCTCTCCGTGTCCAATCAATTGCTGAGTGAAAACAACTGGGAAAACTAATGAATTCTGATTTAATAAGTTTAAAAAAACAGATTACAAAACGTTGTAACATTTAATTAACTTAAAAAATTCAATACAGACACATGAAGATGTGTACGCGTATCACAAGAAATTCAACTCGTCGAGATCGCTTTCTATTCGTGTTTCGAAGGGAACTTTAGCTTGACAGGAAGTTACAATTCAAGCATTCAAAAAATTAATCCTCAAATAAAATTTGAAGGAGAAGATTGGGACGAGTGCTTGGAAGAAAAGACGGTTAAATAACCCGCATCCCATGCTGACATCCCACCAGCGCGGTCGTGTTTATCGCCAGTTATATAAATTGTCAAACTTTTGCCCTCTCGACAGAACCGGGGTCGCGTCTATCTGCTGAAATAATATTTTCCATTATCGCTACGATATCGCCTGCCCGTATCCTTGTTTGTCACGTTCCTCGTAGCTCTCTGAGAAACTCGGGGCGTAATCGACTTCCGATTCACCTAGCGGCTTGTGTGTAGGGGCAATTATTCCGCGTTGGAATTTAAATGAAACATAGACGATCTAAATGAAAAAAGAGAGAATGACGTCTTTTAGCTTCAAGAGCATACGGTCTGTCGAAAACAGGTTTATGTCGTGCGATTAAAGAAGACGATGAAAAGTGATATATATGTTTGGCTTGAATCACATTCGCCTTGAATTTACACACGCTCGTGAACTGAGCAATCATTTATGTAATTATTCATTACATTGCTTAGTCATATAGAAATTTTCTTCGCGAAGTTTTAATTGTACTCCTACTTTGTTAATTCCAGAAAGAATTCAATTTTATACCTATTATTTTTCTTTTTATTCAATTAAATTGCATTAAAGTATATTGTTTGCAAATATTTATAATTAGACGATATTCATAATTAGACACGTATTATAATATAGCACAAAGTAATTCGTTAGTTATTGAAATCAAACGATCTGCAAAAATCATTGTATTATTTAATGCACGTGTAATGTAGGTAGGGGAACGCGTCAGTAAATCGATATTACGTTAGAATGTGTAATATCCGTGTGAAAAATTATGATATGATTATATTATTATTCTATACCGTTACGTAATGGTCTTCTAATTGCAAATACGAATGATTACTAATAGTTATCCCGTCTTACGACATGCACATATGATTCATCGTGACAATTACAACGATTAAAAAAACAAGGTAATCAAAAGTAACAAAATGAGTGCAAAAAATATATTTGCGATTGGAAGATATGCAAAATATTTAATTGGACAATCAACTTTATTAAATTTTTTATTCTACGCGGGCGAAAAGTAATAAATGAATATTTTTTATTCAACGTCTAAAATAATTTTTAAATATTTGTATCATTGTACGTGCCTTGTGCCACTAAATACCTAAGTACAATTCTTTAAAGATCCGATTTTCATGTTTATTTTCATATTCTCGAGTAAATTTATCTGTCGATAAACCGTTGATCATAAAACGTCGTTTCGTTACTTGTATATGAAAACGTTATTGGCCTTCGGATCGTTTTAATCTTTATATCGTTTTTTGAAAGGCTCAAATATTGTGCAAGTGCACAATTTGTAAATATGTAAATGTATAAGATTTTTAACGAAGGTGTTTACCTTGGACGACATGTCCGACACATCATTTTGATTTATATGCGACCTTCGAGCGCAGATGTTCATCAATTTTCGTCAGTAATCCTATAACGCTCAAAGCGATGATTCTTTCCGCGGCGTTATATTTTTACAACACGGTATTATTACTGTATTAAAATATCGGATTAGTAAAGAGACATTAGTTTATTTTATTTTAAGGATGATCGCATAAACGTAAAAGTATTTAAAACATTGTTAATATTGTTAGAATTATTAATCCAGTAGAAATAATTTTGTAACTTTTGTTTTTTTTATTATGCGTCTTGACTATTATTGATGGCCATGATGGCTGTACTGAATTTTGCAATGAATCATGAATATATACTATATATTGAATCTTTTTGTTATTACAGTACAAAGAACTTTCTTGGCATTTTGCCTGTTTGCATCAACCATGGCCACACCAACTGGAAAAAATTTGGCCCTTCAAGCTGTTTCTCAGGGTGCTCATTTGTTCTCTACCAACTTTGTCAAGGTATGTTAATTGAATTTAAATATTCTTAAAGTTCTATTAGACTCTAATATTGTATACAATTGTATACTCTCGCCCACTCTCGTATTATTTATTAATGTAATATCATATATCAACAATTATCAGAAAACAGCTTTAGCAAAATCTAGACGACTAATCTTAATATAGGTATTATACTATTATACATAGTACCATGTCAGTGACTTGACGCCGGCAATAAAATAATAAAAAAAAACACCTAATTCTCAAATCAATTTGATTATTTTCTGATATACTGATATTCGTAATGAATGAAGCTTTCGTATAGTTAATTTGAAAATGTCCTTTTTTCAGAATGTTGCAACAGAAGCACCAGGCAATTTGATATGCTCTCCCCTGAGCGCCAACATCGCTCTGAGCATGGCTGCTGACGGCGCTGTCGGAGCTACCGAGGCACAGTTTAAAGATGTTCTCAAGCTTCCAGCTACGAAACCACAGACTCTGGAAGGTTACCAGAATCTCATCGATAAATTGAATGTAATTATCAATCTGCAATATAGTGTGAAACGTAATACTTGCACAATAAGCCATTTACAGTTACTAATTAAAACAAAATATTAGTTTTAGTTACATATTTTGTGGTATATTTTATGACACTCGTAGGATAGTACTAATCGAAGATGAAATGTTATCCTTTCAGAATGTTGAGAATGTCACTTTGAAGCTCGCTAACAAGATATTTATCGGCAAAAGTTTCCCAGTGAAACCTGAGTATAAACAGGATCTCGAGACATACTATCGTTCCGACATTCAGT